TTATTAACCTGATGTGTTGCTCTACATACATCATACTTCGTTCTTTTTCTTCCAAGATTTATTGCGTTTTTTTTGTTTTTTCAAAGCAGAGCTGCCTACTTTAAGGAGTAGCTTTCTAACAAAATGATTATCATCTAGTAATTTATATACATTAGTCAGCAAGTTAACTGAAATTAATTTAATACTAAATTATATGTACAGTTATTTAAATAGTTTCTTCATGCTTTAGTTGCAGATCTAATTTACATTAAATTTGTAAACTAATTATTTCGTCAATGGACTTCGAAAGTGGTACTCTAGAATTTTGATGCACTATTTAAAGCAGTTTTTCTGTCTCTTAACATTTTGCAGTGAGATTGCGTTCCGTTACCGTAAGCGGATGATCACTAAGTATAATCAATGACTTTGGTCAACATTGAGGACGGAGATAATTGCGAAAATGCATTCTCTTTGATTTCTGTGCGTATAAAACAAGAAATTTACAGAAAGTAACGGAGTAGTTTGTCACAAATAAACGCTGACTTCTTGATATTAGATCCTTTGGGGTTTAACCTCAAGAGCAGATCATAGTTACACTTAAGTAATTCTCATAACATAGACCACGCAGAACCTGTAAATAAAATTGTGTTGTCCAAGAATTTAATGTTAAAGGTAAACCAGCTTGAAAACGTCGAATTTGAAAACCATCGATGGTTTTTAATCTATGTATTAAATTAACTGCGATGTTTTCATTTTCAATATTCAAATTATTTTATTGATATCGCATCACTAATTCACATGTTGAAAGCTAGCAGCTTCGTACAAAGAAATACAAATAAAATCCAAGGAGAAGAAGAAATTTTGATTTTACGTCTAGGACCAACGCTTGACATTTACAATATAAATCTCGATTTAGAACCCCACATCAAATAACATCACTGAATAGAAACGGGTGGTTAGCATTGGTTTGCATCGTAAACAGAAAGCGAATGAACTGTCCCTCGAGAGCAGGTGCACCTCCATTTCCAACGTCCTTCCCTCCGGCGGTAACATCAGAGGAAGTAGCATTCAACTTAAAAGCGAGCGGTGCTAAGCACAACGGTAATGAATTCTGTCAACATTTGGGCGATGTGTCAGGACCAAACCGTAAATACGGCCATGCAGACCTTTTCTTTGGGGGTTCTCTATTTACAGTACGAAAGGTATCCTGAATGTTTATTCAGGAAGTGGGGAGCGCATTGATTTTGTCGCAAGCATATGCTACTAAAGAGAAATCGTCGTTTTACTAATATAAGTTTTCCCTCTTGACATTTTATTACCAAACATACTCCCACTTTAATACTTTCTCAAGGATATGAAAATGTCATAAATTCTATTTACCATAGAGTTTCCTATAAATGGATCACAAAATCAAAATTTGCTAAGGAAACGTTATGTGAATTGGAAACTCAGATCATTGTGACGTAATATGTTGTAACATTAAATTTACTGTCATTTTTTTGTCAGTATGACTTTAATAGTTTATCTACGAAATATGTACGCTCGATTGCTGTCTGGCGTGACTTTATATAATTATTTTTAAAATTCATATAGCCTTATAGGTTGGGATTGAACTAGAAAATCGCACTAGCTCACTGTTCTGAATTCTGAAATTAAAAAAAATTGGTACGATATCACAGTGGACCTGTTCATTTTATATAGTATACAGTATTATTGAGAGAAACATCGAATCATTGCTAGCGTCACATACAACGAATTCCTGAGGAAAGAATACCAGAATGCTTTCGGTTCTTCAATTGCATTCAACAATAAATTACATACGTGTACGTCAAATTTGCACGTGAAACTTCCCTTCTACTTCATTAAATATTGAAGGTAATTTCCATTGGCTCTTCCTGTCCCCCATTATCTTTCGCTGACACTGTTTTCAAACACACACAGGGAGGCATTCCTCCCTTGTTCGCTCGCGGGAAAACCTCAATTTCCGTAAGTGACCTCAACGCATCCCCTTCCTACCATTGAAGGTCAGCCGGGCATTAGCGAAATGAGAACGCACAGGAAAAAAAACCTTCTAGGAGGATAATTTTCGTAGGTGGTCAACAGATTCAGCTGGGCAGCTGGTGGGCTGCGATATCACGTGACATGGTAGTGAAACAAAAGAAAAAATTTGAAAAATACTAATTAATAAAATAGTTTATTTTTGCTGTTGTGCTACAGTTCGATTCGAGCCTAGCCCTGAAAGCCACGCACTACGAAAGCCATCAGAAGCTACTAGCGCCCACAAACCAATCTCAACCAACCATATCGAAAATTAAAGGCTAATTTTTGGATAATTAAATGCTGTATCTATTATAGGCTAATTTTATAGGTTACTTACATGCTCTATTCTACATGCTATCTTTAGTCTACATGTAGCAGCGCGTACCTTCGTAGGAAATACAACTTCCCTTCATTGCAACAGAACGAAAATGCATTGAAGACTAATTTTAGAGTCCAAGAAAAGAGTTATTCTGGGATTCATATTCCAAAAATTAGGGCTATACACAGAGCAACAGTTCGCATGTTACCTGTTTCTCTTTGCACATCCCTGATTTTCGGAATATAAAAAGCCAGTATATTTTTCCTATAGCATAAAATTAGTATTTATTTATTGTTATGGTTTGATATTCGTGTTTGGGAGCTGTTAGCTTTAAATATCTTCCTACAGGAGCCTTTCGAGATCACTCTAAGTGGTTAGCGAGAAGCTCATCGTCCAGCCTCGCAGTGGCACACCAATTCTTTTCCTCAACCCGGAGAACACCCATAAAGATCAATGGTTGCTCCCAGAATAAACTGCCAAATAATTGAAAGGAAATTGTATACATTAATATTTGTTTCTACGCCTATTTAGCTATATATTAAAATATTTTTTTGAATGCTGTGTTAATATATTTTGATGTACGACTGTGGTATGTATCTTTAGTGTTTGGTCAGGAGCATTTAAGACAAAATCATTCTATTTTTAAAACAATTCCTCTTTCATATAGTACTATTGCTGTAGTATTTCGTATAATTTTGTATAGTAGTATTGCTAACAGCATCATATCCATTTCTAGAGTTTTGGTCGAATTCTTTTATCTGGCAATGTTTTATTTTAGACTAGGTCGGAACGTACCACGGCAATCGTCATGTAGGACAAAATCTACTTACAAAGGCGTTTGTAAGAATTGCAACACCAAGAAGAAGGCATACTATTACAATGAAATTTATTCCACTGGTTAAGAATATCACAATATAAAAATTATTAGAATTACAGAACTGTACCTGCTTTTTGACCTTGACTATTTAGTATAGTATGAAGCCGCCACGCGTTGCCATCAAAACCTCTAGACGTCGTAGCATGTATTCAAAGAGAGTCTGGATGTGCTGCTGGGGAACACATCTCCACGCGGTTTCTATGTGTGGACACAAAGCATCTACCGTGGTTGCAGGAGGACCAGAACGAGAATGTTGCCGATCGATCATATCCCAGACATGTTCGATGGTCGATATGTCAGGCGAACGTGCAGGCCAAGGAAGCAGTGGTACTCGTCGTTCTTCGCAGAAAGCTTGCACATTCCTCGCCATTTGCGGTTGGGAATTGTCCTGCTGAATGTGGAGTTGCTTGCAGGAGAGGCATCACGGACTAAACCCTCCCTTAAGTAGTGGTTGCTAGCCAGATTGCCCTCAATACATATGAGGTGAGATCGTACATTGTAGGCAGTAGCTTTCCAAATCATCACACTCGGCAATTGTCCCTATGGCGAGAAACAATGCAGATTGACAGATTGCGATCTACACGGAAGAGTCTAACACCTACGTTGCCATCGCTGTAGCACAAATTGAAACATGACTCATCGGAAAACACCATTTGGCCACTCAGCACACCAGTGAACACGTTCATATGCCCATTGCTGTTTGAGGCATTGATGGCTTCTGGTCAACGGAATTCGACAGAGTGATACGCGTGCCTAAAGTCCAGCCCTCATCAGACTGCGTCAAACCGTTGACGCAGACATAGCGTCATCCGTTGCAGTACTCGAAAGTAGAGCCAATACTATGGACGCCATTCTGTCGGTTATGGACATGCGGACAAGATGGTGGTAATCTAGCGCTGTGGTAACATTGTGTGGTCCATTACCTGATCGAGCAGGGCAAATAAGCGCAGCGCCAGGGTACGCTAAGTGAACCACATAGCCTATAACTCTCCGTTTAAAATGCCAACAAAAGTACAGGATCATCGGTTATGGGCGTGAGTGTCGCCCGGTGCGCTTTTACGCAAGGACACTAATTTGCAGGTTACTAATTTGACATATTTGTGGAAAATATGAAACACGCTAGAATCGAATATTTGTAATGATAATTGTTCACGAAAGAACCATGGCTGTACAAAGCACCAATATCTACGTTGTCTATTCCACTAGCCAAGCTTGACCTATGCAACCTGTGTTGAAAACGTCGAAAATATTGAGAAAAAAATCGAGCATCCGGGCAGTCGTTTATTGCAGAAGAAACGAAAGTCGATTTCTGTTCTTTTTTAAAACGGAATCCCACGCTACCTCTGTATCCTTTTCACATGAAACGTGGCAATGATGTCGGTTTCTCGCAGTTTAACGATTCCAGTCCGACAAGGCTTCAAATATTTACGTTATTTGACTCTTTTTATAATTTCAGTTTCCCTATATTTACCACGGATTCTTTTATTAATGACAACAGTCGCATTTGCTGGCGTGTATTCTCTAAATCCTAACTGTTTCCTCGACAACAAGAACATTGTAAGAAAAATAAAATATAAACGTTTTTCTTTATTCCATGGAGATTATTTGTACATAAAATCTCTCTAGGAAATTAGGGAAGTGATGTACTAGCAATGCTTGATTTTCTCTTGTCAGCAGAGTTATGTACTGTCTTTTTCAATAAAAACCAGCATAACTCACGAGTAATAGAGTTACTTTGAAGAAAATGTAGAATGAAAGTAAGCATGACTTAGCTCGGAAACTTACCTCAAGAAGTTGCGGTGAGCACAAGTCTTCAAACGTCAGCCTCTTCAAAAGCCCCTGAAACATAAATTTCTAAAGTTAGAAGAGAAACCATATAAGCGGCGTTTCTAAGCAATGAAAAAAATCCAGCAGAAAAAAATATATTTTAATTACATGAAAAATAGTATTTTACCTGCAATAATATGTATATATGTGCCTTGAAAATACTTCTCGTGTGTGCTTTTTTCAAAAGATATTTGTATATAAATCATGATTATAAACTCTCTTGCATCTGACGGGGCTTAATTTTCTTTCCAATTCACATAGCAAACATTTATCGACATTCACATACGAGATATATTTTCAAAACAAATATACCAGACAATTATCTCGTAAAATAAAGAACATCCTATTATTGTGAAGATTTAAGATAGTACATTTTGCCATTGCCATTTCATTCAGATGGATCCCACGGACTTCCACGGACTCCCAAGTGACTTTTTGCTCTTAAGGTGCGAGGTCGCTTGAAACATGTTCTTTGCTAACGTCACAGCAGTTTAAATCTCATATTTGGTTTAAGGGGTCATTAGAACGAAAACCTACTACAAACATTGTATTAAAATATGGGAATTTCAAACCAGCGACTCTGTTCAACAATGAAACCCGTTATAATTAGTTCATTGTTTGTAACAGAAAAACGTAACGCCTAATAAAAAGTATCATTAACGAAACATGATGAGCCAAACATTGAAACAAATGGTAGAGCTTACCGAGGTTGCTTTTCTCACATACCATGTATTAATATATATATATATATATAT